AGATTGTGTTTCAAAACAAACAAAAAAAGTTAATGAAAACAAATTGTGGGAAAAGACCACAATAATCAATACAAGTATAGAACTTGTAAGTACAGAACTGAAAGCCCATAATCTTTGACAAGAGCAAAGGCAGTACCATAGAGTAAAAACGGTACTTTTGATAACTAGTACTGAAACTGAACACACATAAAAGAATCTAGACAGACTTACACCTCCAAGAAAATAAAACTCAAAGGAATCACAAACCTAAATGTAAAATGCAAAAAAGTAAAATATCGGAGCTGGAGAGATGGCTCAGAGGTTAAGAGCACTGACTTCTCTTCCAGAGGACCTGAGTTCAATTCCCAGCAACCACATGGTGGCTCACAACCATCTGGATTGAGATCTGGCACTTTCTTCTGGCATGCACGCATGCATGCAGGCAGAATACTGTATATATAATAAATAAATCTTTTTTAAAAAAAGTAAAATTTCTGCACACCAACTTCAACACCAACACAAAATCTAAATGATGTTAGGTCTGATAATTTTTTAGATAACACAATGAAGGCAAGATTTAGGACTAGGCACAGAAAGCATGCTCAGGCCTGAGTTCAATCCCTGACACTGAAAAAGTAAAGACAAAAAAGAAAAGATAGGCTCAGAAGTTCATTCTGGTAATGCTTTGGAGGTTGGGACAGAGAATTAATAAGAATCTGAGGCCAGCCTGAGCTACAGAGTCAGACTCTACCTGCTCCCCCAAGACTGAAAAGAAAGTCAAGCTGAGCAGAAGGGTTGCTGCAGCAAATTAGAGGTCATCCTTGCAAATTAGAGGTCATCCTTTAGTACATGGTGAACATGAAATGCTCTCTAGGAATCAGTCTTACATAAAAGTGGGGAAACACCCAACCCAAGCATGTCAAGGGCTAATGTCAAGGCCGTGGCTCTGAAGTCCTGGGGAGAAAACACAGATGGGGGGAGGGGCTCTTTCTTTTTGGTTCTTCCAGAGTAAGGCTTGAAGGGGGAATTTTAAAAGCAGTCATCAGGGGAAGGACTGCTAAGAGGAGGGCAGGAGCAAAGAAAGGCCTAGTACTGAAACACAAAGCTCATTCAGAAGCACTGGGACCAATGGAAAGAGCTCAGTTAGTCACTGCAGTTGGGGGAAGGGGCAATTTTCAAAGAGTAACTAGCATAACAGCCCTTCTCAAAGGTAGACTGGAGCCCAAGTTTAGACCTTGCAAACAAGTTTAGGTTTTATTTCTTTGCTACAAAGGCCATGGAAGCAATTGCTGACATTTGAGAAACACCTGGCAACAGGCTACAGAATGAACTAGATAGAGGTTAGAACACATAAAATGCTTAGAACCCCTGAGGCCTCCTGTTACCATATGTGTCGAAACAAGGACAGGTAGTTCTGGGCTGTCCATTGGCCTTAGAGACCACAGTAGAGGAGAGACTTCTAGGGAACAGAGTAAAAAAAGATGGAGGTATTGGAGCCAGGCCTGCTGTTCAGGCAAAGACAGAGAAGTACATTCTAAGGTGGGGAGGAGCCAAAGGGTTAAACCTGGGACAGTCTGAATAAACTGAATTGAAGCAATGTGATGAATAAACCAGGCAGATATACCGAACCCAACAAAAAGCTACATACAGGCCACTAAGTTTGTTTTAGAGGGAGTTACCACCCAATTCCCCACACCTTAAATCACCTTTTTCTCCTTATTCAACATATTCTATAACTACACTTCCCACAGCACAGACCTGAGAGGCAGTTTACAGCATGCCACATTTGCTTGTTTTTGGTTTTGGAGACAGGGTTTCTCTGTGTAACAACTCTGGCTGTCCTGAAACTTACTTTGTAGACCAGGCTGGCCTCAAACTCACAGAGATCTACCTGGCATTAAAGACGTGAGCTACCATGCCCAGCAGCATGCCACATTTTAACAGGTTCTGACATCCAAAAGGAAAGCCTTACTTTTTGTTTGTTTTTTTGTTTTGTTTTTTCCTGGAACTCAAGCAGTAGACCAAGCTGGTCTTGAACTCACAGAGATCCACCTGCCTCAGCCTCCTGAGTGCTGGCATTAAAGTCATGCCCCCACCAAGGCCTGGCAGGTAAGCCCTATCTATTTTTTTTTTAAGATTTATTTATTTATTACTTACACAGCGTTCTGCCTACATACCAGAAGAGGGCACCAGATTGAATTGTAGATGGTTGTGAGCCACCATGTGGTTGCTGGGAATTGAACTCAGGACCTCTGGAAGAGCAGTCAGTTGAGCTCTTAACCTCTGAGCCATCTCTCCAGCCCCAGGAAAGCCCTATTTTTTTTTTTTTGTTTTTTTTTTCGAGACAGGGTTTCTCTGTAGCTTTGGAGGCTGTCCTGGAACTCACTTTGTAGACCAGGCTGGCCTCGAACTCACAGAGATCCGCCTGCCTCTGCCTGCCGAGTGCTGGGATTAAAGGCGTGCCCCACCACCGCCCGGCTGGAAAGTCCTATTTTTAAGACTAATTCCTGAGTCAAGGAACGGTGGCACATGCCTTAGATCCCAGCACTGGGGAGGCAGAGGCAGACGGGTTTCTGAGGTGGAGGTCTGCCAGGTCTACAGAGTGGCAAGTTCCAGGACAGCCAGGGATACAGAGAGAAACCCTGTCTTGAACCCTGCCCTCCAAAAAAAAAAAAAAAAAAACTAACCACTGTAGAGAAAAAGAAAACAAAAACAAGACAGTCTCAGGGCTTTTACAATGACTAGTTTGAGCAAAGCAGATTTAACTAAGGAGTGAAACACTCCCAGGAGAGAGCCACCAACAGGCCAAAGGCTGGGTACAGGGTTGTCCAAACAGACTTCAGGCCAATTTAAAAGAAGAGAACACCGAACTAGAGAGATGGCTCAGAGGTTAAGAGCACTGGCTGCTCTTCCAGAGGTCCTGAGTTCAATTCTCAGCATCCATATTGGTTGCTCACAACCGTCTATAATGGAATCTGATGCCTGCTTCCAGCATGCAGGCATATATACAAGAGCATTCATATAGTAAATGAACAACTAAAAATCAAAAAATAAAAAAGGGATGCAGGGCAGTGGTGTTGCATGCCTTTAATCCCAGCACTCAGGAGGCAAAGGCAGGCGGCCAGCCTGATCTACAGGCCAAGTTCCAGGACTGGCTCCAAAGCTAGAGAGAAACCCTGTCTCGGGGAAAAAAAGAAAAAGAAAGAAAGAAAGACAGACAGACCAGAGAGCTACCAACAAATCTCAGGCAAGTCACTCATCTAAAGTTTTGGGTTTGGGCTTGATGAAACAGGGTTTCATTTAGCCCAGGCTAGCTTTTAACTCCTGCTACAACTACCTTCCCCTTCCAAGTGGTAGGACAAGCAAATCCCATCAGGCCTACCTTTACTTCTCTAGGAAGAGAATGTGCCACAGTAATCTCTACCATCCTGCTGGGTGAGAACTGTCAGGCATGCCAGGGTTTAAGTTTGGTGACAAGTTTTTCTAGGACACTCAACAATGATCTGAACATCTGTGGTCTTCCTTTTTGTGCTTCTTACCAAACTGCCTTTTAACTATGCTCACAGACATACATATCTGTCACATCCATCCATCCATGAGGGGCCTGGAACATAAAGACAAAGTGCAGTCCATCCAAAGAGGTAATTTTGCTGCATTCATGACTCTCGGGAAAGACTGGGCACAGAAAAGGAATCAAATGACTAGAACTGGATTTGAGGATTATCGATGGCAGCCAGCCAGCCAGCCAGCCTCTAGACACTTGGCACTCAACTGGGTCAACCAAACAGAAACTTGTAGAAAACGACCAAATGGGTTTTCAAAGGTCAAACAAAAAAACCCGTACTCAACACTGAATGCCAAACACTTGTGCAATAATACCAAGGAGATTGCTACATTTCTCTAGTAAGTCTGAATACATAAAAATATCTATTTTTAATCTAAGATGAAATATTTAAACTTAAAAAGAGTAAGGAATGCCAGGCAGAGAGGCAGACACCTTTAATCCCAGCACTCAGGAGGCAGAGGCAGCAGATACCTGTGAGTCTGAGACCAGGCTGGTCTACATAGTGAGTTCCAGGGCAGCCAGAGCTACATAGTGGGGGGGGAGGTAGGGAGTCCACGATGACTCCAACAGAGAGTGAGATGTGCCCCACCAAGCATGGTGGGGCACATCTATGAACCAGCACTTTGAGAGGTAGAGACAGGATCATCGGTGACTCATGGCCAGTATCCAAAACCTAGGAAATTCAAGACCACTTTGCCTACAAAAGACCCTGTCTTTCAAAAGAGGAGGAATTCTTTCTACTTCCCGCTCATTTCTGGAGCCACACCTCCAGACGCTGGCCAGTAACACAGGTACACGAAGACTTAAGAACCTCAGTAGGAGATGCATGAGTGACTACTACCTTCCATCAACACACACACACCAACCTCTCTCTCTGCTCTCTCTGCTCTCTTCTCCCTCCCTCCCTCCCTCCCTCCCTCCCTCCCTCCCTCCCTCCCTCTCTCTCTCTCTCTCTTTTGGAGAATGTCTCATCATGTAGATCTAGAGATGGCCTGAAAGTCGCTATGTAGATGAAACTGGCCTCGAACTCACAGAGATCAGCCTGTCTCGGCCTCCCAAGTGCCAAAGGAGTGTTTCTGGTGAGGGAAGGGGTTGTGATCAAATAGCAGATTAGAGGCAGGACAAGGGAAAGTTACCCGATGAGTTTTCCCCCCTCATTTCTAAAGCCCAGCCACAACATCCCTTTTTCATTCAAGGCCTTCATAAGGAAACGGCTTCCTAGACACATCTATTTTGAGCTTCGGTACAGAATGTACTTGTGTGACTGCATAGTATTGTTCTCCTGCAAGGGACCGGAGGCATCGCACACATTTTCCCAAAGCTCTCCCGAAGGCGGCCTGCAGCGCTCCGGGACGTGCTTCCGAGCCGCGGCACAGCGCTCACCTCTATCCCAGCCGCCGCCCCGCCCCGCCCCGCCCCCCACCCCCATCCCCCGCGCGGCGCCGCAGCCACCGACCTGATGACACTGATGTGAAACTGGTCCTCGCGAAGGCCCCGCCAGGCACCGGGCAGGAATTCCTTGCACCACAGGTAGGCCCTGCGCCGCGTCCGGGGCTCAGGTTGTTCATCCGCTAGCAGCGGCGATGGCGGCGGGGGCAGCGGCAGGGGAGGCGGCGGCGGCGGCAGCAGCGCGAGAGGCTGGGACCGGCCACCAAGCTGCTTGGGCTCCAGCTCGCCTGCGGCGTCGCGCTGCTGCCCCACGCCGGGCGCCGGGGCAGCGCTGCCACCGCAGCTCAGCAGCAGCCCAAGCGGCGACGGCTCCGCCTCGCCCCCGGTGCAGAACTTGGTTTTCATGCCGGACAGGCAGCCGAGAAGGCGCGGGCGGCCGCAGCGAGAGAGGGCGACACTCAGGGTCCGGCTGGATGCCCGCCTCCGGGGGCCGGGCGCGGGAAATGGCTTGCCGACTTCACTGACTGTTCGGGCGGCGGCTGTGGGAGCGCGCTGGGAGGCGGCGGCGGGGAGAGGCAGCAATGGATGGCGGGCAGCGGGGGCGAGAGACGAGCGCGACAGGCTGACCGCGGGCGACTGCTGTAGTGGGCCGCGGCGCTCGCTCCTTTACAGCTCCGCACGCGGAGCGCCGAGCGTCACCACCCGCCCCCGCGCTCACCGCTGATTGGACGCCACGGCGCATCACAACCGCCGCCGCCCTCGCCACGACGCTTTCCCATTGGCTGCGGTACAGCCCCTCCTCGCCTCAGGCGGTGAGCCCACGGTGAGGGAGGGGCCGGCGCAGAGGGGGCGGGGCCTTGTGCGGGGGTCGCGGGGGTCCCGGAAAGACCAGCCGTCTCGTTTGGCGGCGCTCACAAGGAGGCCCCTTTGCGAGCCAAGGCCTATCAGGGCAGGAGTGGAGAAGCCTCTGCAGCTTTGGCAGACTCTAGAGTGGGCCTTGAGAAGGACACTTTTCCTTAGACGCACCCACGTCTGAAAGCGGTGACTTCAAAGGATTCGGGGGCTTTACAGGGGCTGGCAGGAAATCGGTGTCTGGAGGCAGTCTGCTCTTTCCGCGTAACCTTGGGGTAAGGCTGCTCCTGAAGGAGATCCGTGGGTGTGTTTTTATAACATTTCCCAGGCTCTGTGCGAGATGCATCCGTGCCCGAACCAACTCAGGGCCGGAGGCATTACTATACGCGGTTCAGATATCAAAAGGGCCAAGGCCACAAACACCACTTGCCACCTGGAAACCTTGCTCTACACGCCTGCAGCCTCAGTTTCCCTGTCCGTGGTGCTGAGGATGTCAGCTAGCTCTCAGTTCATCTTCCCAACAGCCTGGCCTCAGCAGCTGCCAGGATTGATAGCCAAAGGTTCTCGCTTTGCGATTCCTGGCTTTGTGGACTCTGTCATCTGCCGCACTCTTTCCCGGATGTCCAGTCGCGTGGCCATGACTAATGTACCTTTGCCGTAGGGCTTGCAGGGGGGCCAAGGCCCCTTCGCTATATGCCCACACATTGCTTGATTCTTTGGTCTCATCATTCAGTCCTTCCAGGAAGTAATTTGAGGTGTAGAGGATAAAAACTACAGGTCTGTGTGGTGGGACATAACTGGGAAGATTTCCCCAACTGCCTAGGAAATCCAAACCCCAGCATTCGGAAATGGTTTCTTTGTGGGATTTCACAGTCTACCAAAACTTCTTCAAAAGGAGTAGGTACTTACCTGAACGTGCTCCCCAAAACCTAATCTTAATGAACAAAAGAATGCAAATGATCTGGGCATGGTGGCTCACATAGTTAATCCCAACACTTGAGAGGCAGAAGCAGGCAGATCTCTGTGAGTTCCAGGACAGCCAGAATTACATAGCCATACCCTCTCTTTAAAAAATAAAATAAAATTGCAAATGAAAGAAGACTTTGGCAGGCCTAGAGTTGAACACCAGAGAAGTAGTGGGGGGAAAGGAGGCCTGGCCTAGCTTGAGGTGGGAGTTCCACTGGATGCTAGAAAGGCTAATAAACCAAGGTCTTCGTTCAGGAAGGCATTTAGATAAGGAAGCCAAGGACTTTGAAAACACCAGCCCATGTGGATGGAGGTGGAGCCTTGTCACTGGCCAGCTCAGGTGACTGGCCCTTTGTCCTCATAGCAATCCCCATAATCTCAGAGGAATGTTGGAAAGCTGGCTGAGGGGAAGCTGCTCCAGGAGCAAAAGGAGAGCGCTATAATTTGAAGTAACTCTCTCTGACCTCTGCTGGTTTAGCTTATGAGAACCCGCAAGCGCCTTCCTGTGGCAGTGAGTGGTCGCCCCATAAAGGGGTTGGAAGGGTCCCAGCACCCAAAGCTTGGAAAGTTCGTGAACTTGGAGTGTGGGATAGATGGGAGGGCTGTGGAATTCATGGGACTGAGAAGGCTCGGCACGGACACTAGCACGATACAAGGCTACTGCAAACTTTGCTTTTCCCCTCTAGAAACCTAAGTCCTTGGTGCTAATTTAAGGGAAACCAGTGGACAGTCCTCTGTAGGCAAAGTATAACATGGCTATAAGGTCCATTTGGTGGCACAGGTATGGAATCCCAGCACGTGGGAGGCAGGAGCAGGAGAATCAAGAGGTCTAGGCCACCTTCAGCTACATAACGACTTTGAGGCCAGCCTGGGCAAAATGAAAGCCTGTGTCAAAACAAACAAGAGAATGGCATATAATTTACATGTCCTGTGGCTAGAAATGGTGGCATAGATAGGCATGTAAAGGTCGGTAAATTGAGACAAAGTAATTCTCCTTTGAGGCTAGCCTGGGCCACATACAAATTCCAGCCAAAGTAATGTTGTGCCCAAATTCTGACACACACACACACACACACACACACACACCAAGCCCAAGACCACACAGCTGGGAAATTATAGCCTGGATCTGAACAAGGTTGAGTCAATGCCACTTCAAAAGCAGCTTCTACCTTCTGTCACTCCAGGCTTTCCAGTTTACAAGAGAGAGAGAGAGAGAGAGAGAGAGAGAGAGAGAGAGAGAGAGAGAGAGAGAGAGAGAGAGAGAGATGCCCCCTTTGCATGTCCTGTCATAGTGTGTGTGGCTAGACCAGCACTCAGTGCCCTTGAGTCAGGTGCCCAGGCCTAGTCCAATCAACTAGTACCAAGTGGCTGGCACCAGCTTCACTTGCCTGAACAGCAGGAGCTGGCTCCACACTACTGGTACCTGGGGCAATTCTGAATTTGGCAGCACTCTTGTAACAGACCTGTGCCACACACAAATCCTTCCTTTAAAGAAGGCCAGTGTGAAGTCTCAAGCCTCATCCTGGAGGCACAGCCCTTCCTGCTCTTCCAGAGCCTGTATATCACAGTGAAGGAGAGTCACAGCCTTCTGTCAGCCTGATACAAATCTTGCCATTCTTTACTTCCTTGGCATCTGCCTTCAGGCAGGCCACCTTTGTCTATCAAATAGCCATAATAGGCTAGCTCATGGCAGGGATGAAGGGTTATAATAAATTTTCTTGTTAAAAGTATAAACAAGTCATTTGGAAAGAGGAAACATTAACTAAAAAAAATGTCGTGATGAAATTGGCCTGTAGGCATGTCTATAGGTCATTTTCTTGATTAATGATTGATGTTCCAGGGTCCAGCCTGCTCTAGGCCCTGCCACTCCTGAGTAGGTGGTCCTGGGTTTTATATAAAGTGAGCTGAGCAAGCCATGAGGAGCAAGCCAGTAAGCAGCACACCTCCATGGTCTGTTTTAGTTTGTGCCTCCAGGTTCCTGCCTTGAGTTCCTGCTGTCACTTTCTCAGTGATGGAAGGAAACCTGAAGTTTTAAGATGAAAAAAAAAAAACACTTTCCTCTCCAAGTTGTTTGTGAACATGGTGTTTATCACTGCAACAGACACCCTGATGTATCCTTAGCACTGGAGTGGGCCCACCTGAACTTGACATATTTTAAACTGAAAGAATGGGCTTACATGAAAAGGTAACTGTGCCCATAGATGTTGGGAAGCATCCTTTGGGAACATTTGGGGACATTTGAAAGGCTAAGAAGGCAATCACCTGGCAGTCAGAACATTCCAGAGATTACAACAACGCCATTAAGTATGTTTTTAGTCATTGACTGAAAACTCTGTTATCTAGGCCAGGGAAATAGCTCAGTAGGTAAAATTGTTTGCAGCCAGTCCTAAAGACCTGAGTTCTGAAAAAAAAAAAAAAAAAAAGACCTGAGTTCTGTCCCTGGAACTTACAGTGGAAAGAGAGAACCAACTCCCCAAAATTGCCTTCTGACTCTCCCATGAATATGCATGCCACATGCACACTAATAAAAATATTTTAAGTTTAAAAAGGCTGGGCATGATGGTACATACCTTTAATCTCAGGACTCTGGAGGCAGAGCAGGCAGATCTGTCAGTCAAGGCCAACCTGGTCTACAAAGTGCTTTCTAGGACAGCCAAAGCTGTTACACAGAGAAAACCTGTCAAAAAATGAAGAAAAGAAAGGAAGAAAGAAAGGAAGGAAGAAAGAAAGGAACAAAGACTCTGTTTCAGAAACACTAACATAGGAGTGCACAAAACAGCTTAGCAGCCCACAGTAAAGGCACATGCCTCAAGTCTAAGAACCTGAGTTTGAACCCCAAGACTCAGAGGATAGAAGGAGAGAATCAACTCCACAGGTTGTCTCCTGACCCACATATGCACACAATGGTACACACATGCCTTTCCCACAATAAACAAACAAGTAGGTAAATATGCTTTTAAGAGTGAAAAAAGAGAAGTTATCAAAAGCAAACTTTCCCATGCGTAAGATATCCCATTGCCACATCGTCTCTAATTGACAAGAAGTGGAAAGAACCTAAGAGTCCAGCACCTGCAGGGTGCTAAACCAGGTTAAAGTCACTTTGCAGGAACAGAACATGGGACCACTTTCCAAATGTCTCTGTAGCTGCCATAGGGTGTGTGGCTAGACCAACACTCAGTGCCCACCGTAGGGCTTGGCAGCATAGGTACCAGGAAGCAGATTTTCTGGCTCCTGCTCTAATCTAGATGGGCAAACTGCCCACCCCACCCCCTCTCCTCACCCATGGTTGTCGTATATTTATTATCTTGTCTTCCCACCAGACTGGAGCCTCTGAGAAAGCAAATGAGCCCTGATGTTTGTCAACCCTTAGCAACATTTGCTTAATGAATAAATCAGTGAATTCCCACGGCTGAGCCTCAGTTTCTTCAGCTGTCAAATAGGGATTAGAACACCAAGTATGCAGGGTGGTTCAGAGGAATGAACAGAGGGATGCCTGCCAAGCACATGGTGTACAGGAAACATCTATACTGTTTTACCTACAGTATAGCTTCTGTAGTCTCTTTCCCAGGGCCAGCGTTCCAAGATGAATAATGGATGCAGCTGTAGCATCTCATGGTCAAGGGAGACAAAGTTGTGTAAGAAAAGAAGTGAGCAGTCGCTCTGCTTACCAAAGCGTCCGTGTCTGTGCATGAGCGACCACGGCTTGACGGGAGCTTTGCCATGGCTCAGGCTCTGGCTCCGGCTCCGAGAAGAGGTTATTCAAGCTATACAACCTTTTCTTTTGGGACAAAAAGACCACAGAAGTGTATCCAGAGTTGTGATGGATGCTGAACTCTGAAGACTGTGCAGAAAATGGGGGATGGGTGCATTCCCTCACTATTCTATGACTGTTTCTTCTGCGACAGACTAAGGGCCAGACAGGAGTTCCTGCTGTCTTGGGGGAAGACCACAAGTCTCTAGAAGACACAGTCCACCCCACCCATGAGTTTTTCCTCTGCCAGCAACTCTACCTGCAAGGAAGGCCTATTCCCCAAAAAGGTTTTTTGGGAAATAGGAATATGTCTCAGAGTTAGACTGTTTGGCATAGCATTAACAGGCCCTGTGTTCTATTCCTAGCACAGAGTGCCACCCCACCACCAAGAAAAAAAAGAAAAGAAAAATTGAAGGTGGAGGCTGAGGTAAGGAACGGCTCAATCAGCAAAGTACAATCTGTATGGAGAATTTGAGTTTGGATCTGTAGCACCCATTTAAAATGCTAGGTACAAGGTATGCCAGTAGATAATTCCAGCCAGTGCTGCAGAAACAGAGATGGGAAGATGCCTGGAGCTTGCAATCCAGCCAGCCTAGGTGAACTGGTAAGCTCCCAGGTTCAGTGACAGGCCATATCTCCGAAAAATAAAGTGGAAAGATAGTGAAGAAGACAGACAATGTTGATCTTTGAACTACACACACACACACATACACACACACACACACACACACACACAGAGAGAGAGAGAGAGAGAGAGAGAGAGAGAGAGAGAGAGAGAGAGAGAGAGAGAGAGAGAGAGAGAGAGAGAGAGAGAGAGAGAGAGAGAGAGAGAGAGAGAGAGACTCTCAAAGCAAGCAAGCAAGCAAGAATGACAGAAAGGGCCTCTAGGAGAAGCATTGAGCCCTTTTCTCCAACAAGCAGAAGTTGAGTCTATTTAGCACTTGTTTCCCAGACCACAAAGGAAGTCTCACTGGGGAGTGAAACTTGCCCAAAGCCAGCAGATCCTAGGGCCCCACCAGAACTCCTTCAAGGAGCCTTATCTTTCTGTCCTGCATTCCTACTCCAGCAAGTCATAGACATTTGACATGGGAGTCCCCCAGAGGGCCAGAGAAGCAGAGCCCTGGCCAGGCTACCAGGTTCACACAAGACCAGGCACTGCTCCAGTTCTGAACCTTCAAATATTGATGAGAACACAGAGAGACCAACAGCCGGGGATACTATATGCTCTGGATTGAATTACAGCCGCAGATAGCAGAATGACAGGGAGCTGGACTCTTTTCTGAGCATTTGGGTTGGACACACAGCAGCTCCAGACGCTCTCTGAGCCCAAGTGTGATCTTATTTGGCACCCTTCTGCCATACACACAATCCCAGTACCCACAGCTGGGGCCAAGGGCTAACTCAAAAGAATGCATGTGACAGAACACCCAGAGTCTAGTGAATGGGCGGGTGGTGCACCTCTCACACCTTATTTGTATGAATCCCAAACAGCATTATGTAGGAAAATCTGTCTTTGGAGGTCTACTCCTATGAGCTGTGTGAGTTCCTTTTTGTTTGGTTTGTTTTTTGTTTTTTGTTTTTTTTTTTGAGACAGGATTTCCTTGTGTAGACCTGGCCATCCTGGAACTCCCTCTGTAGACCAGGCTGGCCTGGAACTCACCTGCCTCTGCCTCCCAAGTGCTGTGATTAAAGGCAGACATGTGTCTTTAACTTCTGACAAGGAAGTTTCTCTTCCAGGTCCCTCCTTGGCTAGGCCCTATGTAACTCTCCATTTCTCTTTTTCGTTTTTGGGGGTGGTTGGATGAGGAGCCAGGCAGGGCTTTGTTGGTTTTTTTTTGTTTTTTTGTTTTTGTAGGTTTTTGGTTTTTCAAGACAGGGTTTCTCTGTGTAACAGCTCTGGCTATCCTGGAACTCTCTTGAACTCACAGAGATCCGCCTGCCTCTGCCTCCTGAGTGCTGGGATTAAAGGCATGTGCCACCACCGCCCGGCTGTGAGGCAGGGTTTATATGCAGCCCTGACTCACCCACCGCCTTGTAGCAGTTCTCCAGCTTGTGCCTATTGGGCATTGGGGTATAAGTGTAACTCCCTGAGTCAAATGTTCCTTAGTCTCAGCTGGGAAAAGCATTCCTATGCTATAGGCTGTTGGGAACATGCCCTGAAAGCGGTGGGTGCAGCTCTAGGGCTCCATGAAGGATATCCATGGATTCCTAGAGGCTGACAAGCAATGACTGTCACCTGTTAAAGTGTCCCTGAAGCAGTGTGTCCCCAGTGTCAGCCGAGAGCAAAGCCTGTAGAAGTCCTGGCCATGTGGTTTCTTTCAGACATCAAGCTGAGCCTGGACATTTTTCCGTTACTCGACATCCCTGGCGCCTTCAAATGCAGATGGATGAACAGGGTTGCAACTGGGGCATGCTGGAAGGCTTAAACTAAACAAATCAAATGTCTTTTGTTTCATTTTGTTTTGATACAGTGACTTATGTAGCCTGGGCTGGTCTTCTACTCAATATGCAGCTAAGGCTGGCTAACCTCTGACCCCTGATCCTCCTAAATCCTGCATCATGGAGGATGTGTGAGTTTTCCACATATATAAAGATTGCATGAATGATAATAGATATGTGCGTCTTCAGATTATGGCTTAAAGATCATCTTTCATGCTTGACATTGCTAGATCAGGATTAAGGGAGGCAACATGGAAACAAGGTAAACATGCATTTCCAGAGCAGAACTGATCTTAGAACAACTGAGGGGCCGCAGACTCCCCACAGAAGTGGAGGCTGTGCAACATGGCATGAGGGGGTTTGGTCCTTGGGATGGAAAAGGGGGAACTTTGGGGATTGAAGAGTCCGTTTGAGGTCAGTTCCCCTCCAGCGGGTTAAGTAGGTAGAGTTCCTGATCAGAAGCCCTCACAGGTGCTGTTGTCGGCAACTCTCCTATTTAGAGCATCTCAGGCCTTTAGGTAATAGATCCTTCAAACACTGCTTCTTGGTGGCACGTCAATTGCCTATATTGAGAGATGACCCAAAAAAACTAAATCTGAAGCCCTTGGAACACATAAGGTCCCTACAACAGATCCTGGCCAATAAAGGCAGTCCCTGTACTGGAGGTGAGCCCTGAGCCCTTTGGAGGGATTGTCTGTGTTTAATCAGATGAAAGTCTGCCTATGGTTTTGTTGGCTAAACTCGCCTTACCTTGTAACAGAGCAAATGCACTGTTGAAGATTCCAGGGCCAGTGAAATTATTCAGTGAGTAAAGATGCTTGCCACCAAGCCAGTTGACCAGAGTTCAGTCTCCAGAACCCACAAGATGGCCCCCAGAGGGCCAACTCCTACAAATTGTCTTTTGACTTTCACATGCACACCATGGAACATACACACATACTCACATTAAATAAATATAATTTAAAAAGAAAAAGGTTCCAGATACTGAGCAGTTATACTGGGAGATAAGACTCCCAGGCTAGGAATAGAAAAAAACTGAGTTCAGGCACTGGACTCCTCTCTTCAGTCAGCCATGGGCCCTACAGGTCTAACTTCAGTCTGGTGCCCTTGAGATAGTCCTCCCACTGCAGATAGGTCCTCCCCCTGTATAGATAGGTAAGCTGAGGCAATGATTGCTTACCCTGGATGCCCTGGCCTACTCTGGGGACATCTCCTTTCTCAGTCAGGGGCAGGGCTAGACAGTGCAGAGTTTCTCTACCTCGAATTCTTGCTCAGACCACTTCAGGTTTAACTAGAATCTGAATCCTTGATGGAGAACCTGCGGAAAATTACCCAACTCTATTCTAGGAACCTGAGGACAGGATGTCATAGCTAACTTATCTTAGCGTCAGTTAAACTGCCTGTTTGGGCAGAACTCCTCCAGCTGCCAAGATGCCAGGAAGTGGTTTTTGCCTTCAAAAACCCTATGCGCTAGACACTGGCTCTAGCTACACCTAGGTCCCCAAACACTTGGGTGTAGTACCAGCCGGCTAGAATAAAGTCTTTCAATCAACTATAAATTGTGTCTGAGTGGTCATCTCTGGTGAACTCCCCAGTAACATTGTTGGTTTAGACTTCTGACTAACTCAAGTCCTGCCCTCAAAAATCCTTAAGAGTCAAACAAGGGAGCAAGCAAAAGAGTCAGCAGTGCCATTCTCCACTCTGTGTGACCTTGGCCAGTTCCTGAAGGGCAAGGAGGGGGAAGATGGGCACAGGAAATGGGGGAAGGGAAGGGCGGCGACTTTGGAAGACCTTTTGGTTCAGGGCTGACCCTTCCTCTCTGGGCTTCACTCTCAGGACTGAATTCCAAAGCCAGCAGGATGGCAGGGAGAAGGAATCCGGTCCAACTGGATTCCAACTCCCTGCTGTTCACTCTGACTGGTGCAATCTTGTAGTGGACACTGAAGAACTGGGGATGTGGGCCTGGGAAAGGTGTGTATGTGGGGGTGGATTCCTTTGAGGGCCTGAGGCAAACTGAGTGACTTGAGGACACAGTTGGGGCTGGGACTAACAATGATGGACCTTTGCTGTTAGAGTATGCATTTACAAAGCTGATGAGGTCTAACAGCCCTGGATGGAAAAGGTGGGAAGGGGTATCTGCTCACAAGCAGTTTGCTTTATTGGGACAAAGACTCCTGCAATGTGCTCCATGCCTGCATCCCCAGAGGCTGGAAGAAACCCCCCAGACTGACATAGAACCCCTGCCAGCCCTCTCCCCCAGGCCCTAGCACTCTTTTTTTTTTTTTTTTTTCGAGACAGGGTTTCTCTGTGGCTTTGGAGGCTGTCCTGGAACTAGCTCTTGTAGACCAGGTTGGTCTCGAACTCACAGAGATCCTCCTGCCTCTGCCTTCTGAGTGCTGGGATTATAGGCTCTAGCACTCTTGAGGTGACCCAAATCACCTGCTGGAGTCCCTGCTGACCCCCAATCCCTCTTCCTGTCTCAGGCCCTAAACATTGTAAGTGCCTAGAGAAATTACCCAAGGATCCCTGCTGTTTCACGACTGGAGGGTCAGGAATTCACGGACATCCTCCCAGCCTATTGACTCCATACCCTAAGCTCTACTCTCTTCCACTGAGCCCCACGACCGACCGTGCCTGGCAGTGCTCACCTCCAGACGTACCCAGGCCTGGTGTTGCTTCAAGCTTCCCTCCCCTGCTCTTTGACCTTGGGTCTCTCCTTGACTAGGATTCTCTGACCCTTCCCAACTCTCCATTTCTTTTTGTCTTTTTTGGGGGGATGGGTGGGTGAGGAATGAGACAGTTTCATATGTAGCCCTGACTGACCCTCCACCTTGAAGTAGTTCTCAGCTTGTGACTAGAGGGTACTGGGGTTGCAGGTGTGCACCCCCACGCTGTCTCCATTTATCCTCCTCACATATTTCTGAAAAACACTGCTGTCCTGCCCTGGTGGGATGCTGTGGGGACTTCCTCTCCCTGGGTGCCCTTCTCCCCTTTGAGCCTTCCAGAAGACAGTGTAGACTCCCAGCCTACAGTGAACTAGATACACACATGGCTTGCTATGTGGGTCACTTCTCTCTCCTGGCAGATAACTAGTGTCAACAGAGATTGAAGGTATAGCTTGAACAGTTTCTACACCCTGATAAGCCTCTCTGCTGATACAGCAATCCAAATCAGACCAAATAAAACTGAATTAGAAAAAGTCCACGTTTAATGGATACAAAGCCCCTGGATGGCCTTCCAGTCCCCCAAGTGGTTACATGTTGAGACTTTGTCTACACCTCTGGTACTATGTTAGGAGAGTCTAGAAGGCAGGACCTACCTATCTGGAGGAAGTAGGAAGTGGAGCCAATCTAAAGGAAGTAGGTCACTGAAGCATGGTCCTTAAGAGCTTTATCTTGCCCTGACCCTTCTCTGTCTGTCTCTGTCTCTGTCTCTGTCTCTCTCTCTCTCTCTGCTTCCTGGCTGCCATAAAGTGAGAAACTATGTCCCCATACCCTTCTGTCTTCAGAAACAACAGAGCTGAAATAAACCGGAAATTTCTGAAACCATGAGCCAAATTAACCTTCCCTCCCTTGCCTTGTTCTTTGCCAGTATTTAGTTGCAGAGACCGAAGTCTAACTAACATGGTCCTCACTCCCAAAGCCAACACAGTGGAGAATTCCACAGCACCAAGAGGGCGTTGAATGTGGGGCAGCTAAACAAAGCAGGTGAGGCTCCCAGCCAGAGCGATGTGGTCATTTGACCATCAGAGCAGCGAGTGTGTGCTGAGCGTTCAGTAGGCACCGGACCCCGTGCTCAGCTTGCCATACGCATTAAACACCCATCCTCACTTTGCCCTGTGGGGAGGGCATGCTATTATTCTAATTTTTCAGATAACCAGACAGATACAGAAGACTTTGGCCATTCATCCAGCACACCAAGGGTAGGGTACGTGAGGAGACACTCACATGCCAGGCTGATGGAGGACACTTTATAGACCTTGTGGAGCCAGAGGATCTGCTAGCAACTCTCTCTGTGGATGCCTGGTGTTACAAGGCCTGGAAGCCAGTGAACCACATTTTCCAGCACCCCCTGCAGTATGCAGGAGTGTTCTTATAGCCTGTAAACCAAAGGCACTTGCCTAATCCCTGGAAGATTGGAGACAGGTGATAGTGGGGACAAGTGGGGGCCTTTCCATGTGTGACACTATGCCTATGACCTCTCTCGTGATGGAATCTTCCTGTGGGTCATTACTCTAAGTGATCAGAGTCCTTATGAAAGATTCTAGGTTTAGGGTTCAAGGGGAACACTAAGAAGTAGTGTTCTTTTTTTTTTTTTTTTTAAAGATTTATTTATTAAGTATACAGTGTTTTGCCTGCATGTATGTCTATACACCAGAAGAGGGCACCAGATCTCATTACAGATGGTTGTGAGCCACCATGTGGTTGCTGGGAATTGAACTCAGGATCTCTGGAAGAGCAGCTGGTGCTCTTAACCTCTGAGCCATCTCTCCAGTCCCAGTAGTGTTCTTTTTTAAAAAATTAAGAAAAATTCAGGTTTTTATTTTTTATTTATTTTTATTTTCTGTGTATTAATGTTTTACCTACATGGATATATGTATACCACATGTGTGCCTGGTGTCTGCAAGGTCAGAAGAGGGTGTCATATCCCCTGGAATTGGAGACAGATGCTGTGAGCCACCATGTGGTTGCTGGGAGTTGAACCCAGGTCCTCTGCAAGAGCAACCAGTGCTCTTAATCACTGAGTCATCTCTCCAGCCTTGAATTGTCCTTTTATTCAGAAATTTATTATAATTAGTAATACATATTATCTTCATAGACAGGCAAACAGCAGTGTGGCTGCAGAGCAACCAGGTCCTTGTGGCAGAGTGTGTGGGTCCCTTCTTTAGTATTCCAGAGAAATAGGGGCAGGGAAGGAGGTTGAAAAGTTTCCTTATTGATCCACAGTTGGTTGTTGCTAGGGTAACCAGGAAGTATTCACTGAAGAATGCGAGGTGATGGCTTAAACCAAGGCTCCATGGGCCAGAAAAGCAAGAATACAGAGAAAATTTTCTTAATCCTGGATACTAAATTACTGTCAAAGATGCAAGGTGTCAACGTTCAACCAAAATGAAGGAGTTTTATAAAATGTTTGTCATCCTGGTTACCTCCTTTGTTTCTAGCTTTAGGAAGGGGCTGGTGACTCTCCCTATCTCCTCCTTCAATGAGTAAACATCAACAGTCCCCAGTCCACACACCTCTCCCATCCCATGCCAGAGCCCTGTGTACTCCACAGGACAGGTCATAGCCCACTGTTGACAGACACTACCTAGCTCTGAATTGCACAGACAATCAATATCCAGGCTGGTCTATGTTGGCCTTCTGAATCCCATCATTGGGGCCAATTGCAAATACAGGTGAAAAGTCTCTCTGGTGGTGGCATTCAATGCTCAATTCTAGGAAGCAGAGAACCCCAGGAGGAAAGAGCTCTATTGCCTCAGAGCCCCTGATAAAGTCCCAAGATTGCATCTGTTTAGCTCATTTTGGTCGTCTGTTCAACCCTGGACCAGTCATGATGCCTAAGTAATGCACCCTCCAAATGAAATGGCCAGGCCTGGAGTGAAGTCAGGTATGTGGGAAGGTCTGGCTGATGGTGTGACTTTTCCAGGGAAGAGGGAGTGGAGCCCAGAAATCAGGACCCAAAAGGGAAGTCAGCCTGGACTCCGGTCACCATTCCTCAGCCCTGCTAATTGTGTCTACCCTGTTCTCTTTCCCAGCTTGGGGGGTGTGGTCTGGAGCTGAATCCAAGAGACAGGGAGAAGCAATGTCCTCCTGAGGAAGGGACAGTCAGTCAGTCTCCTTCCTTATGAAAATGAGACCCCCTCTCCCCGCCTGTCTCTGCCACCTTGCTGTACACTCCCAATCATCTCATTTCACCCTCACCTAGAACCACAAGCATCTGTTTCACAGCTGAAGACCTGATATGCAGAGAAGCAAAACTGACAGCCAAAGACAGGATGCAGCTCGGTGGTGTAACAGGCCAAGGCCTGAGGGCTTGGATTCAGCCCACAGCACTAAAATGGAGTAAGATAATACATATTACAGGCAGGAGCCTGGACAGATGGCTCAATAGATAATGTGCTTTTCAAACAAGTATGAAGACTTGAGTTCAGATCTCTAGAACCCCATAAAAAGCAGGGTGGATCATGCATGCTTGTAATACCAATGGGGGTAGGTTGTAGAAATAGGCTGATCCCTGGAGCTCACTGGACATCCGATCCAGCAGAATCGATGAGCTCCATGTTCAGTGAGAGATCATGATGCAAAATACAAGCTGGAGGGGCTGGAGAGATGGATCAGTGGTTATGAACACTTGTTCTTGCAGAGGGCCTGGGTTTGGTTCCCAGTACCTACAGGGTAGCTCACAAATCTGTAACCCATCTGTAACTCCAGCTCCAAGGGATCTAGTGCCCTCATCTGACCTCCTGGCGCTGAACACACATGGTGCACAGATGCACACATGATGCACAGATGTGCATGCTGGTGAAATGCCCATGCACACAAAATCAAAATA